CTCTACTTCCAACAGCTCTCGTCTTAATAGAGCATCTCGGAGTACTGCATAGGGTTCGAGCTCTCATCGACCAAGGTTCTCAAAAAACGTTCATCACCTCGAAAGTGCAAAATCGTCTAAGGCTCCCCACCCGAAAGGCTCAATACGAAATTTCCGGATTGGGTGGAAAATTAATTCAAAATTCCAGCCATATTTGTTCCGTGAAGTTAGTTTCGCCGAAAAATAGAAAGTCGAAAATCGTCCTTCCACAATTGACAAGACTTCTTCCTACCTTCACTATTGAAAAACCCGATTGGAATCAATTCGCCATGTTGGACTTGGCAGACCCCAACTGTTTCCAACAAGCCCAAATCGATATGATTATCGGCAGTGATCTGATCCCTGAGATCATGCTCAGTGGTATACATCGCAACATATGTGGAAGCCTGCTCGCGCAAAATACCATATTTGGATGGATCATAAGTGGACCCATCACTTGTGAAGTGGCAGTGTTCTCGACACAAGTGGAAAAAGTTTCTAACGAACTCCTTAGTACACAACTAAGACAGTTCTGGGAGCAAGAAGAACTGTACCCTGTACCGATCTCAGAAGAGGATATAGCACGCGAGGACTACTACCAAGGGACCACATATCGTGAGCCAGACGGTAGATACGTGGTGAGACTCCCCTTCAAATCAAGTTTCCCAAACTTGCATGCATTAGGCCAATCCCGTAGCTATGCCTACAGCCAGTTGATCAGTATGGAGAAAAATCTCGCCAGAAAAGGCAATCTCAAAGCCATTTACGACGAGATCTTAGAAGAATATCTTACGATGGATCACATGGAACCAACCAGCTCGCAAGAAATCGCCTCAGATAGCAAATATTTCTCATTTTATTTGCCACATCATGCTGTAGTCAGACCTGACAAAACAACTACAGAGGTGCGCGTTGTTTTTAACGGCTCTAGGAATACTAGCTCTGGGTATTCCCTCAACGATATCCTGCACGTTGGTCCCGCTCTTGAACCCGATCTAATGGCCCTGATATTACGGTGGCGATTATATCAATTCGTTTATAATGGGGATATAGAGAAGATGTACCGACAAATCCGTGTTCATCAAGATGACCAAGAGTTCCAGCGAATTCTCTTTCGCAGACCGCATAACTCAGAATTTCAAGACTTCAGGCTGAAAACGGTTACATTCGGAGTAAACTGCGCTCCATTTCTAGCCATTAGAACCCTTCAACAATTGGCTAAGGATTCACGCAACAGGTTCCCACTCGCTGAACAAGTGCTTCTGCGAGACACTTATGTAGACGATATTTTATCAGGCAGCCATACAATTCAAGATGCTGTGAATAAATAATCAGAAGTTATAAAGACACTCGCTAGTGCTAGATTCCCACTCCGCAAGATAACGGCCAACAACCCAAAGATTCTGGAAAAAATCCCGAAGTCAGATCTCCTTGATTCCGACTTTCTAAAATTTGAGAGTACCAGTAGTACAAAAACACTAGGTATGAGATGGAACGCTCTTTCAGATACTTTTTCCTACTCCGTTGCTCCCATTAATGCTACAAAGACTGCCACGAAGCGGCAAGTCTCATCAACAATCGCAAAACTGTTTGACCCGGCAGGATGGCTCTCGCCCATTATGACTCAAGCCAAATTACTTCTTCAATCTTTATGGCTAGAAGGTACCGATTGGGATGAAGGCGTCAAGCCAGAATCGCTAGTGAAATGGAATAAAATTTTGGAGAATTTACCTCATATCTCCACCATCGAAATCCCTCGATGGGTAAAGTTTTCACCCATACATCGTCTCCAGCTTCACGGATTCTGCGACGCTTCAGAAAAGGCATACTGCTCTGCTCTCTACCTGCGCACAACGGATCTTGACGGAAAAGTCGCCTGCCACCTCTTAGCAGAAAAAGGAAAAGTGGCAGTGATAACGCCACAAGGAGGCATGTCATCAGCCGTGAAAATCCTGCAGACTTGGGTACCCGAGGTTGTAATCCGCGAGAATTGGCGTCCAACACTCTCTGGTGGAATGGCCCAGATTGGCTTCTACGCTCCGAAGAAGCCTGGCCAAAAACTATCGTTTCGACAATTTTGCCTCCCGAGCAAAGAAACATAGTTGTCAATCTCGCTATAGAAGAGCCAGCCGATGTGCTCGAACGGTTTTCATCGTTTCCTCGTGCGTTGCGCGTGCTTGCTTACGTATTTCGGTTCCTCAACCATGGGCTCGCGAAAAGAAGAAATACTCCCTGTACCTCGACTAATTCCCTGTCTCACGTCGAAATTCAGTTTGGCAAAACGAGGCTCCTTTCGTTGGCACAATCACGATATTACCCATAGGAAGTAAGCGCACTATCCGCGAGAAATCCCTTGTCAAAGAAAAGCTCTCTCTTAACTCTCAACCCTTCTCTCAACAAAGAAGGTCTCTTGAGGGTAAACGGACGATTATCCCAATCCGGGCTCATTTATAATGAACGCCACCCCGTAATTGTGCCCGAAAAGTCCCGATTTTGTTGCTTGTATCTGACTTTCCTCCACAAACTACTTCTGCATGCAGAACAAAGTCTAATGTTTCGCATGGCCCGCCAAGAGTTTTACATTCCCCGGCTGAAGCCGCAGATTAAGAAATGTATCCACCTCTGCAAAGTCTGTGCGCTTCATAAACAGCGGGCTCAGTCTCAAATCATGGCTGCGCTTCCTCCAGAACGCTGTAGTTTGTCCACCCTTTTCTCGACAACTGGTGTAGACTTCGCTGGTCTATTTCAGATTAAAGCGTCTCAGCTCAGAACGGCAACCTTTCTCAAAGGTTATGTTTTTGTTTGCTTCTCGACCAAGGCTGTGCATCTAGAATTGTGCTCTAATCTCACAACAGAAGCATTTCGCGCAGCTTTCGCAAGATTCGTCGGTCGAAGGGGTCTGCCCCGTAAGATTATGTCCGACAACGGCACAACCCTCGTTGGAGCACACCGAGCGCTCAGCAGAGAATTTCTGGAGTTTTCGAAAGAAGTCTCCAAGGACATTCTATCAAATTATTCCCCTCAAGGAGTTGACTGGGTATTCATCCCCCCAGGTGCCACTCATATGGGCGGCCTTTGGGAGTCAGCTGTCAAAAGCTTCAAAACCAATTTAAAAAAGATAGCTGGCAACCATAAATTCAATTTCGAAGAGTTATCCACGCTTCTAACCCGTATTGAGGCAGTTCTGAATTCCCGAGCTTTATCTCCCCTCTCACATGATTCTAATGATATTTTAGCTCTCACCCCAGGTCACTTTCTGAGAGGCGCTCCACTCACGCCGGTTCCCGAACCCGACGCGGAAAACATCTCACTGGTCAACCGATGGGAAAAGCTGAAGGCTTTACATCATCAGTTTAGCCGTAGATGGAAGGATGAATATCTTAAGGAGCTCCACAAGCGCTATAAATGGTAACATTCGCAGAAGGATATCGAAGAAGGTCAAATGGTGGTTATCAAGGACGAGCCGCTACCCCCGAACGAATGGCGGTTAGGACGCATCATTAAAATTCATCGCGGACCCGATGGCTATGTCCGGGTCGCAGATGTCCGCACGCAGTCGGGCGTACTTACACGTCCGATTGTGAAGTTGTGTGTTTTGCCGTACTCGTAATTAATAAATCCCTTTATTATTCCTATACAATCACTTTGCTTTCAACTCATCTTATACCAACACTAAAGCCCTTTCTATTTACAGTTAACATGTCCGACGCCGAGGTCACCCGCTGTCAAATCTGCCATCGCCAACACGCATTGTGGTTTTGCAAAGGCTTCAAGGCTATGAATCCCGGGCAACGCGACGACGTGGTACGCGCACATGGCTACTGTCGCAATTGTTTGGCCCGGTCCCACATCACCGGCTGCTGTGACTCGCGGCGTAGCTGCCAAAGATGCGGTCTCGCCCATCACACCATGCTGCACGTCGAGGAAGGTCGGGCCAGTGATCGACAGACCCGAGCTACACAGGCCAGACGTCGTGATTACGACCAGGCCACCTCGCGTAACATTAGGCATTCCCATGCCCGATCTTCGCACTCACGCTCCCGACACCGGCGCGAAAGTAGAAGCCGCTCCTTGCGGCGCCTGAGCAAAAGCCGCTCCCCGCGGCGAGTAAGCAGAAGCCGCTCCCCGCGGCGCGGAAGCAGATACCAGACTCCGCGACGTACGAGTCGAAGCCGCACCCCGCGGCAGGAGAGCAAGAGCCGTTCCCAACTGAACCGCAAATCACGGCGTGCTAGCAGAAGCCGAACCCCATTAAACACGAAAAAGAGTCGTACGCCAGAGCGGTCGACACAAGACCGGAACATATCCGCACAGCGACGCTCCGTACGGTTCGCCCGAACTCCTTCTCTTAAACGAAGTGTTGGCTTCCGACATACAAACCGAGACATCGAGACGGCGCGCTACCAAAAGGAAACAGCGAGATCCCTACTCGCCTCCGCGATTCGATCCTTGTCGGACCTTCGAGACGTTTTTTAATGACTGCACAAGTGCATGGCGTTCCAGGATGGCTAAACCCCTTTTAGCCAAACAGCTGTATCGTGTGTAGGGGCCTTTAGGACTGCTTTGCCGATTCGATACACATATCCCTAGTGACTGCTCTGATTGTTTTGCTTATAAAAAATTCTATGTATATCTCTGCGGTTACATTAAATCGTTGAATTTGTGCCCTTTTTTCAATTTATATTTTGAATTAATAATAACGCGAATTCGTGAATTGCGATTTTTGAAAATAAATACATTCGTGAACATAGAAATATACAACTGTGTTTAAATAACCTCCATTAAAAATATTATATTGTTAGTACCAAAAACAACGGAGTTATGCCGCTTTTTAAATTGCTCTATCCGTATGTATGCTTTGATTTTTGTAATGTTTTTTGCTTTTCCTGTAAAATAAAAAATTTGCTGGTTAGGGCCTTTGTGAATTAAGGTAACGTAAGTAAGGTATCTGCATCACTTGGACTCTTCCCTCTCCTCCGTAGTACGGCGACTTCAAAATCGCTGAGAACATTTTGAATTTGATTATCAACCAAGGACAAGTGTGGATGGGTATATTTTTCTCACCCGGTTTGGTGCTAGTCAGCCTTGTCAAATTAATGATTTTGATGTACTTCAGATCTTGGATTGTTCTGACATGCAACGTGCCACACGAGGTAGTATTTAAGTAAGTGCTAAGAAAAAAACATATTTCATTGTATCTGCAATATTCGAACTCATGATCATGTCTATTTCAAACAGGGCATCCAAGTCTAACAATTTCTACCTCGCTCTACTTCTCACGATGCTCTTCCTCTGTGTGCTGCCGGTGAGTTATGCTATTGTATGGCTACGTCCCTCATGGCACTGTGGACCATTCTCAAATTATAATCGAATCTCAGAATTCGTCACCAATGCGACCAGGGAAGCGCTACCTAAGTAAGTTGAAGGAACTTTTTATTTCCATTCCTATTTTCCACTAAAGTCGTTATACATATTGTTTATCCTATCAAACAGGGAGCTTCATAGACCATTGAGTTATTTGACTTCAGCAAGTACTGTTATACCGCTGCTGCTTCTACTAATCCTGATCATTTATTACCTGGTCTCATTGACGGGCGCGTTGCGGGAGGCCAATCAAGATTTGAGAACTCAGCTTCAAAAGGAGCGTGAAGAAGAGCGGAAAAAAATCTTCAAGGTACCTGAAATGAAACCGACTGAGAATAGCGCAGCAGCACTGACCAGCAGATGGCGCAAAGTTCTTGAGGCTTCATCCCCGGTCACACCAACACCACCCCCAGATTTTGAGAGTGAAGAATACAAAAATCAGGCAAGGAAAGGTATGTCAATGGACTGCTGATTGGTGCTTTATTTTTTATATTTTTACTGTTATTACTTCAGAACTGATTTCACGTATCATGAAAGAGGCTCTGCGAAAGGGTTCGGCTACCTCGGATGATGATTCCGTTAATAGACATGGCAGGGAAGATGATGATACTGATACTGAACACCACGATTCACTGCCACATGACGAAGATGGAGGAGACAAGAATTTAGGTTTGACGAAATTGCAACAAATAAGACGAACGCGCAAGCCTTCCCTTATAGACATCGTACAAATTGCCAAGAGCGAGAGGGAGCGAGAGCAACGAGCTTCATTGTCAGTGAAAGAGAGGAGTAAATGTAAGAAAGATAAAGATAAAGAGAAAAACAAGGAAAGAGATGCAGAGAAAGGAGAATATGAAGATCAACCAAAAACAAATAAGGCAGACAATGGTAAAAATAGCGATAAAAGAAAAGAAGCGGTCAAAGACGAAAGAAATAGACGAAGGGTGGAGAAAGCGGAGGAAGAAGATAATGGAAAGGGAAGAAACAAAGATTTCATTAAAGATGAAAATGGTGATGCAGCATTTGATAAGCGCATTTTATACGACAAGGATAATGGAACATTTAAGCTTAATGCTGATAGCAATAAAACCCAAGCTAAAAAAAAAACGGGCCAAAATTGCAATACGCCAACGCAACAATTAGATACCGATAACGATCCCGACACCAACACTCGCATTGTAAATGAACGCAGACAAAGCTTATTGCGTAAAAAACTCGAAGAAGATCGACCAGCAGATAGCGACAACACTCCATCGCCTTTGATGCCAGATAATCAAAGTACTTGCCAAATCCCACCATCCATCGATGACGTGAAAAACAGTAACTTCGAAATTATAGATGAGAAACAATCGGAAAACAACTGCGAAAAAGATAGACCACTTCCAAAGCATAGATCATTCAGTGTACGTGGCGGTACTTTTAAAATACGTCGCCAAAAGTACAAACCAACAGAAGGCAGTGTTTTTAAATTTGATGAGAAACCAGTTGGAAGCACAAATAACGACAAGCTCGATAAACCAGGAAGTGATCCACCCAGCAGTGCAACGACACCAGCGCCAGCCCGGTTCAGTGATGGTCTAGCAACACCAACGTTTGTGAACTCAGAAAAGCTTTTCAATCTTTCGCGTCAAAGTCGCAAGAAAATCGGCACACTTTTTGCACTAGTCCGCGACACAGTTAACACCAAATGGAACGATGTCGAGCTATCGCCTTGCAGCAGCGCTGATCCAATTACACCAACAACACAGACAACACTTGCCTCAGCAAACGATAACAACACTGGCACTATCGCAATCGAGATACCACCATCACCTGAGGTTGAAACCACACCCAAACCCCAATTCCCTACCACGATTCCTGAAATCGCTGCAATACCGAAAGATACAGAACCTAATCATCCATTAGAAATCCCAAGTGCGATTACAACAAAAACTGTCGATCTGTATGATCCAGAAGACCTGGACAAGCCTGGGGCCATAAAATTAACACATAACAACGCGACAGGACGACGTAAGCCCATTGGACGTACACAAGCTGCACGTCAGGACTCACAAACTTCAGTATGGTCCGATAATATACCAATAATAACAATCAGTACAACGGGAAGTGATGAGTGCATCGCTCAAGCAGATCCAGAGAAAAGGTTGTCATCACCAGTTGCCCCAGCGAGGTCAGTCACAGCTACGAAAGAGAGTGTAGTCATGACTGTCACAACATCAGGGCTCCCAACTCCCGATCCTAAAGAAAGGGACATTCAAATTGGCATCGAAGACAAATAATAATTAAAAGCTTTAGAAAGTAGTACCTTGCGGAATTATTTCATTATTATTCTAGATACTTAATTATTTTAGTAGCAATTATCAGACTTACATATTCAGTTGCGTATGTAGTATGCGAGATCATAAAGCCAAACAAATTTTGTTTCAGTAATTTTATGAAACCACGTTAGTTAGTAGAAAAAATTCCAAATAAAGTTAATTAAAACTTCAATCAAAAGTTTTTACATTAAGATTAAGGCTTAGACACCTTGGAAGCAGGAGGCCATAAATAGAGCAGCCGTAGGGCGCTCAAAGTGTTCAAAGTGGAATTTAGTGTTCACAATTCACTGGAGCCTTCATTTTTCACTCAAGTTGTTAATTTCTTTTTTTAATGAAAGCTAATAAAATAAGTGAGCCCGCTTTTTGAATTTTTGTTTGTTTATATTAAATTTTTTAGTGCAAAGTGCTGAAAATGTAGCTATTTTGAAGAAAATTTGTCCTCCTCTCCCAGTTAATAAATGTTACATATTAAAAACTAGTTGAAAACAAATGTACGGTTACCGCCAAAGAAAACAAAAATTTCAAATGTCATAAAAAATTTTCACCAAAATTAAAAAAAATTTAGTTTATAGAAAAATGCTAGGTATGCAGTTTTATAGATCATTTAATTTTTGTATAATAAAGTGCAATTTTCAAGTGGTTAAGAGGTCGCGTTGAATTTTAATAATTTTTAAGCTAACATTTCGAGCACATCTGCATGCTAAGTGGAAAATAAATGCGTTTGTTATATCTATATATTAATACGCTAACATAAATTTTTTTTTTATGGTTCCGCAATTGATTGAAAATTACGGCCAAAGCCGTCGTTTAAACATTTTAGAATTGTGTATAGATGTTGCTGCAACATGTTCAATTTGACATGTTTCGCATGTTGTTCCACTTCGCATTTGAAATTAAGCTTTGAAATAAAGATAAATATGAAGATGAAGAAATAAATGATAACGATGAAGTCAAAAAAAAGAAGGCAAAAGTGAAGATAAAGACGAAAATGGAGACAATGACAGATACATAAGAATTAGGGTAAATGAAAGGGTACGAACATTTCTTGAATTTATGAAGTGAAACTTCTTTAGCGGCAGTTGGTTGGTTGGGAGTAAATTGTCGAATTCAAGGGGAATAATGCACATGGAAATGGTTCTCAGCGGTTTAGCGGTTTGAGAATAAAAACAAAAACAAAGATGCCTAGAGGTACAGGCAAAAACGAAGATCAAAGTAAATCTAAACACTATAAGGTAAAGATGAAGAGGAATATGCAAAAACAAAGATAAACATGAAGAAAAAGATGAGGATGAAGATCGATATTGTTATCGATATAAACCCCGATATTGTTATCGATATAATAATCGATATTGCTATCGATAAAATAATCGATATTGTTATCGATACTGTTATTGATTAAATAACCGCTATTATAATCGATATAATAATCAATATAATGATCGATATTGTTATCGATAGAATAATGGATATTGTTATCGATATAATAGTCGATTAAATAATTGATTTTGTTATCGATTTAGTCATTTATATTGTTATCGATATGTACAATAATCGATACTGATGATTGTTATATTTATCGATGAATTAATCGATTTTGCAATCGTTGTATTTTTCTATATGTTTAAGGATATTGTTATCGGTAATTTTATCGACACATTTATCAACAGGGTTATCGATATAATAATCGAAACAAGGAATGTGATCACATTACATGACATAACATCACATTATATCTCATGATATGAAGAGGCATCACATGATATTACATTACATAATATGATATCACATCACACGATATCTCGTGACATAAAATCATATGATATGACATCACATTATATGGCATGACATCGAATGACTTGACATAACATGATATGACATCGTATGACATGACATGACATTACATGACGTGGCAGCACATGATATCAAATGGTATGACATCACAGGATATGACATCAGAGGATATGACATCACATGACATGACATCCTATCACATCACATAAAATCACGTCACATCTTATCACGTCATCGCGCCTCATCTCATCTACGTGAAAGAAAAGGATATAAGCAAAGTTGTGAAAGATAAAAGCAAAGATGAAGACCAAGGTAAATTTACCGATTTCAGAACCAAAAACACCGTTGGAAAGGTAATTTTCTGTAGATGAGGAGAGTTTTTATAGTTTCGAAATTGGTTGAAAATCGTCGTTTAAAAATTTCCATATTTGTGTATTGTTGTTTTTGCAGCCTGTTAAATTTAAGCTGTTTCGCATTTTGTTTTACTTCGTATTTGAAATTAAACTTTGAAATACAAAGGCAAAAGTGAAGATAAAGACGAAAATGGAGATAAAAGCGAAAATGGAGACAATGAGAGATACATAAGAATTAGTTGAAATTTTCCAATAGGAATCGAAATAAAAACAGCCATAAAGCTTACTGAAATTTATCGAATAATCGACGTTTATAGTTATCGAAAATAATCCGTGCTTATTAAGGTATCGCAACGTATCGAATTATTTAAACTGATCAATGTTTATTGAGTTATCGAAGTTTATAGACACAGAAACTTAGTTATCCAAATTTACGGATAGTTATCGAGCTACAAAAACGTGTGAGATTAACGAAATTTGTCAAGTTAAAGAAATGTATCAAGTTATCGATATTTATAGAATTATCATTATTTATAGACATAACGAAAATTATCGAGGCGTCGCAATGCATGGAGTTCTTTCAACTTACAGTGTTATCGATAATTATTGATCTACTTAAATTGGTTGATTCATCGAATCGAAGTTTGTGGAATTTTCAAAATATATCGATTGGTCGAAATTTCAAGGTTATATAAGCTAATCAATTTATAACTGCTTATCGAATTTTATCGTGTTAACAGAGTGTAACGAGTTATCAAAATTTTTCGATAGCTTTCGAAAAATTTGGAGTTGTCAAAAATAAAAATGTATCCAAAGGTATCCAAAGAATTTACATTTTCGTGTTATCGAAATTTATCGAGCCCTCGAATTTCACAGTTATCGAAATTGGTCGAGTTAACGAATTTTGTTGAGTTATCGGATTTTAGAGTTTTCGAAATTCTTCGAGCTATCGATATGTATCAAATCATTGAAATTTATCGATAAACTGGAATGTATCGGGTCAATTCCAAGTCCTGCCGAAGTCCTCCAAAGACGTTCTAATATAAGAAAAATATTAGTTACGTTTAAGTTCCAAAGCAGAAGATTTTCCGGTAAGATAATTTGTACCGTATAAGTTTTGATACGGGTTAAGTTAGAAAACCTCTCCAAGGCTCCCAATAACTAGAAAAACTGTCGAATTTCGACAGTAACTGGCACTCTAGTGTATTATTAAAAAGCAGCGAGAACTCGAAGCTACTTGCAACTTGCACTTTATTATACTAAAATTTAATGATCTATAAAATTGTGTACCCAAAATTTGTATAAAAGCCAAACAAAAAAAGTTCAGTCCAGCGCTTTCGTCTTGACTTACGGGCCACAGCCGCTAAACTTAAACGTAGAATACGCAATAATATTAAGAGCACATTCAAGTCAAAAACTGCATATTAAATATTCGTTTTGATTTTATTGGATTGGATTAAATAAAACTGTAGGAATAGAAAATATTAATAATCACATTAACCATAATCTATATGCCATCAGCTTATAAACATATGCTATGACGTTTACCTTCTATGAGTTAGTATTTGACTTACTTATATATTAGCTTAGGTGGTCCCCGTATGAGTATTCGTGTTCATGCTCGTCATCGCATTATATTCGTCTTCGGACTTATGTATAAGTTAGCTTAATTCGATTTTTGAAACAGGTGGCAACCCTCCTAAATATAGTTCAGAAAAAACCCTTTTTAAGGCCATTTAATTTGATAACCGGCGGCCGCTGTGGTGTAGTAGCTAACAGTGCGCGCTACCACTCCGCAGGGCCTGGGTTCAAGCTCTGGTCAAAGCAACATCGCATCGCATCTCTTAATAGCGGTCGCCCCTTAAAAAGAGCTCAGTACGGAGTCGGCGTAAAACTGTAGGTCCCTCCCCGTGGTGCCGTGACATAGCCCCAGGTGGCATAACTCCAATTTTAAAATGTGGGATTACGTCACTTCTTGTATAGTGGCATAAACCAAAGAAAGTAAATCAATAAGAGACAACACGTTATAATTGTAGCGAGTGTGAATATCAAGAACATGTCTTCTCTTTTCATTAGGGATAATGATCGATACCATCAAGGTATTACTCAAATCAGTACTTGCACTTGTTTCAAACAAGGTATCGATAACTACTCAGTATCGGGAAGGTATCGAGTACTTGTACATAGGACTACGATTTTGCATATTTTTCAAAGTTATTGTATTTTTGCCACAAAAAAATATGAATTTTTACAAGATAATTTGTTTTTTAATACTTTTTCATACAAAAATTTAAGACAACAATTATTTCTGTATAATAATCCCAACGGTTTTTAACCTCCATTCCCGCCCATCCGCACGAGGGGCGCAGTCCGCATGACGTACGGAAGCAGTATTTTCATTTTTTGCGCCGAGTCGCGAGAGGCAGGAGTTTGTTAAGTGTCGAGATCTAAAACTGTTCAGCTACAGAACTAAATTCATCAGTCGATTTTATGTCTTTATGTTAATGATTCATATATTGAGATATAGTATCGCTTTCTTAATGCTGAAAAGCGGATCTGATATATCAAACGTGCTGGAATGAGAGTTAAAATCCCGCTTACTTCGCGGTGTCTAATAGAACTCTTGCGTTGGCCAATGCAAAAGAGCGATTAAAAGCAAAAATAGTCTGTAAAGTCAAAAATTTTGGTTTAAGTTGAAACCACTAGGGCACAGTATCCTCCTCACACGTAGGCCAATAATAGTAACGTTGTGATACCATATAGAATACCAATCCCTTTCGGTGTCATGAGATTTACCGATGGTTTTATTACCACCTGTGAGATCTCTGCCAAGCATGCATAATCTTTTTCTATGATCTTGCAACTACAACATTAGTGCGATACGAATGCAAATAAAAGTTCTTATAAGAAAAATAAAGAGCACAGAAGTTCGTTTTCTGTTATAGGATGGCCAAGAATACTCGCTGTCCCCCAGGA